AATATAAAGAAACAGTTTATGTGAAAACAAGATGTCATATAAAGGAAGGAATATAAACCAATAATAATAACTGGTATTTAGAAAAACAGAAGAGGAACGAGACCTAAGGAAAACATGGCAAGTATTAAGAACACAAACCCCACGTGTTACCCAAGAGAACATCCGATTATTTGGACTTTATTATAGTTAATATGAGATTCCGATTCAGTAACTTAAACGGAATGTAACAAAAAGGCTCAAAAGAAAAAAAATGTTTTCGAAACTTAAACAGAATGTAAGAAAACGACCCTAGCAACTTCAATTTTTGAAGTTAAATAAATTTAAGCATTTAAATTGTCAGTTCATATAACATAATGAAAGTGTCATTTGGAGTACACTAAATTATAGGATTGACAGAATATAACGTATACTCCATAATAAGTACAGTTTCAGATAGCAATATGTCATCCAGGATCTAATTTCTCAGATGGTAATTATGTCCTTCCTGGCTTAATAACTAGATGAAGGTGGCTAAAAATAACAGTTTAGTCAGTTATTTCAGTTTGGTGGATAATATGAGTTTGCTGATCAAGATATGACCAAAACGTTTGCACTTTAAAAATCAAGTGTTCCATTAAAAAAATTACATTTTGCCATCATTACAGTAAATATTTATACTGATTCAGAGTACCGTTTTACTATAACATCAAAAGCAAAAACAACACCACATCCCTTTTACCGGCGCGCAGTAAAGAGCAAGGAACATCCCATAAAACGGAAGTGTCTAAAGTTAAATATGTAAGTCTTTTTTTTTCAAACAATCAATAAATTAAAAAATAATTAATTTTGATTGTAATAAAAGCATAAAAACATGTTAGGGTCTCTGTCTGATCTGGACTCGATTATGTCCTGCCTGGTATCCATATATGGTGCTAGCAGTTTTCATCGATTGAAAAGAAGCAACGTTTAAAAATGACAGGCCTTTTCAGCTGTAGTAGAATGTCCAGAGAATTCACTGTCCTATTCCTAAATGAAATGTTTTTTTTTTGTGTGTGAAAGTGCATTTGACGCAGATAAGAATATATCACTAAATGCTTTAGAATAATTGTTGGGAAAATTTCAGATTAGTGACAGAATTAAGTATGGTGAAGATCTAATGAGAGAATGCAAGAGAGACTAAGGCTTAAATACTAAAAAAGAAAATACAATGCAGGGATTACACTCAAGATTATACTATAGAACAGCAGAGATTTTGATATTTTTGTCGGGATTTCATTCATTGATTTATAACCTTTAATATGTTTGTCACCAGCGAGATCCGAACTCGGTTATTTCGTTCACATTTCAAACAAAGCTGCTTACTGAGTTTCTAGAAAAGTTCATTTGCTGTGATAGAGTGTTGGCCCGAGGACAACGCACAGAGAAAGTAAAACCTGTCGTTCGCATATAAAGAAACTATCTTATAGCTTACAGCATGACAGTGTTAATTAAACATTTACTGACTCCATGGGAACAATCTGATTCAGCTAGAAAATAAAAAAGTAAATAATTAAACATAATACTTTCTAATACATGTCGTATCTTGACAGTATAAAATAAATATGTTCATACACCTATTTATATATCAGGAAAATGCAAAATGCAATTTGCATGGTAATGGCATTTCTAATTGTAGAGAATTTTTTGCAGTCTGAAACAAATAACTCACATCTGAGATTGATTGCTGTTGTTTAGAATCGCTGAAAAAAAATGGATTTTGATTACAAACGTAATAAAAAGGTTTAAAAATGTCCTCCCGATTCAGGTGTGAAATCACGCATCTGGCCCGTGGACTGACAACAAGGATTTCCTTTAAATGGCTAACGACGAATACCCTGTAGAATTGCTGTTAGTTCAAGACTTCTTATATTCGTTTTTACAACTGCTTTATCTGTCAAAAATATGGTAAAAAAAATCATATACAAATACTTAATGTAGTTTAGGGATCTCCAAACATGTCTGGCTCAATCAGTGTGAAGTTAATGAAAGGAACATCAGGCCATGCATTTCTTATGACCGTTCCTTTCATGTCTGAATAGCCCCTGTTACTTCACTCTTTTCTTCCATTGATTTTTATGTTCAATATTGTCATATTTCGGTCTTAGCTTGGATCAGTAATCGTGGACCGGAAATTTCTGAGAGTCCTATACAGATATCGGCACGCCGTTTAATCCAATATTTAGAAGGGAAGTATCACTATTATTATTTTTACATCTGTTTACCACAATTTTTGTTGACAGTTGAATTTATTACCCGATTGCTCTTTGTGCTTTATGTACTATAATAAAGCAAACAAAATCAACATTTATTTTCTCTTTTATGTTATTTTGTAACACATCTAGCACCAGCTACATCTTTATCCCACACAAATTTGCAAACAAATGCATTTGATTTGTTGATAACGACACTGTTGCTCATTTCCTATTAAACTAGTCAAACAGTTTTATCTCAAAACTATTCTTATTTTGGGTTTCTCAGAGCAAGATAGACTTTACATGGTGTCCAGTTAAATTGTGGAATAATAGAAACCGTGAAAACCCCAGAACGAACCACCGATCCACGGAAACTACTGACTGGTACAGGCGAGCGCTTTAGAACACTCAGCCACCAGGGGTTCTCCCAAAACCTGTTGAATTCAATAAAATAAAACTTTACGCACAAATTTGTGTAGTGTAAAAATATAAATGCTATGTTTGTGCTTTGCTAAGTGTCTTCATAGTGTGAGAGGTCTGGCAATTATAAAAATATATCCAGAAACTTTGTCCTATGGTTTATTGGTGTGGATCCTCTCTGACTCCATGCCGAAAGTTGAATGAATGTTATGTCTTTATGTTTCCCCTATCGTGTATGTATTGTTTGTGACAAAATTATATTGCTTTTGATATCGGGTTTTGTACAACGTTCAATTCTAGTGTTTGATTTACTCTTTAGCTCTTGCTGGTCCCAGAACTTTATTATTTACAAATAGTGATCCTTTCCAGGGATTGATAGTGTCCAGTGTCCTATGGTAATGCATAATCGTACAACGCTCTGGTAGATTTTATACACTGATCTAGATAAAGGATTTTAATACTGAAAAATATGCCTTTAAACTAAGTACACTTGTAAATTTTCTCCCCCTTATATTCTGCTACGTGTACCTGATAATTAAAAGCTCTTGTATACTAAGATAGGTTTATATTAACAAAGTAGCAGAGTCTTGGTCTTCAATGTATTTCTTTAATGAATCTACGAGACCATTTTCCTTTACTGTTTATGTAAACAGCGTCAATTTCCATAGCAACGCATATATTACCTGTTCTTGTTTTCAAGAAATATATTGAATATTTGGTGTTTTTCAGTCTTTGTGTTACGCGCCATCTCATCCCTTAATTTGCCTTTCTTGGCATTGTTAATCTCTTTCGATCCGTCGCGATCGATTTCAAAATACTTCTTTTAGGTATTGCCAGTCATGTGCAAGACTTTCATTCCAATAACAAATGGAACATGACTTAAGGGCAGATAACGACTTGCATATAACTCCATGACAGAGTACACCCAATGGTATATCATGTCTGATTCGTACTTGGAAGACATGCATTTCATCAGAAAAAATCTTGTCCCAAGGTTTTAATAAGTTTATCGTAATTAAAAGCAGATTAATATCTAGATAGTTATTTCTGATACACATCAATGATGAATTGAGGCTCAATGAAAAACAAGCCATGAGATGAGTTCAAGTCTGAGCATGAAAATCTTCATAAACTAGGAGCATCTTTACAAGATTACAACAGACCATAGTTATCTTGGCTAAAATTGTATAACGATTTTTAAAAAAATCTTTTATCCTCTAATGCCCACTTGAAAATACGCATGGCAGGACAATATTGAAGATGACATGATGATCCCAAATTGATACTAACATTTCCATTAAAACATTGAAATATTTCATAAAACAGAGTTTCAAAGCAATTTGAATGAACGTCTACGATAGACAAGAAAATATTAAAAACTATTGTGAAATCACTATTTATTTTACTCTCTCTCTCTTTATATATATATATATATATATATATATATATATATATATATATATATATATATATATATATATATATATATATATATATATATATATATAACATACACATACATTAAGAATAACATGGCTTTTAAAGTGTTGGTATTATGCAATTTGATATACCAATATTATTGTTATATCAAATTGTGATGAGCCCATGGCGCAAAAATACATACAGATACACATTCTTGGAACTGTGCCGTTTGATCTATTCCTATAGATCAATGATAAAATTTCACTCATTATTCATTAGTAAGGTATCAAAATAACGGTAAAATAAATAATAATCCCCGTTTTCCAAATGAATTTAGCATGGTACAAAATCTAATCACAATCCCTTCTTTTTCCTTTTTTCCCTCACCTCTCATTCACAAGGGACAAAATATGTAAAAATATGGAATGAGGGAAAAAATTGGGCTAGATAAAAAAAACCCGTTTTTAATACTGAAATTACACCAAGTAACATATCATATCGTTTTTCATAACGGTATATTTACTATTCCCTTGAGACCTATCTTAAGTGTTTATATGATCAATGATACAATGTTGAAATTCCCGGTCGACCCAGTAAAGTAAATTTCTTGCATGCGGGGCACACATATATGATGTATTTAAGGCTTTGTTGATGCTGTTGTTCTTAAATGTATCATAAGTTTTTAAATATCGATTATTATTAATTAAATATGAAAATATCCAAAGGTAGCCCCCCCGCCCCATTGACCACCGTATCAAGGTAAGTGCGAAAATCCATGAAAAGACAAGAATAGGGGAGTTTCGCTTATGTTTTACCACGTCTCTGCGCCTATTAAGAATTATAGGCAATGTTTTTAAATTATTTAAAGTGCTCATAAATTTACTAAGCGATTGATCATCAACTGACCCATTTCCCTCATTCGAAGTTTCTGTATCGCCCAACCGCTCCGGTGGCCTAGTGGTTAGAGCGTTCGCCTCGGATGTGGGAGGTCGTGTGTTTGATCACCGGTCGAATCATACCAAAGACTTACAAAATGCTACTAGCTGCTGCCTCGCTCGGCGCTCAGCATTAAGAGGTAAGTGTTCGGCCTGGTAGGCCTGGTGTTAGGATAATGTGACTGGGTTGGATATCATGCTACATGTCTGCGGCATGATGCCCCAGTGCTAGACATCACTATAAACTACCACAATGTAGACATTGCAGCGATATGACTAAAATTTTTTAAAAAGCATCGTTAAAAGTCATAATCACATCACATCTGTATCGACTACCCCACCTGCAATAACTATATGAATACCTACCAACTGATCGTCTGCTGTCTTGTCCTCTAGAACAGATGTTTCTGTATTACCCGACAGCTCCAACATGTCTGTGCAGCCAGTAAAGACATGTGATCAGCTGTCGTATTCGATTCAATCAGTTGTGATGACACAGGAAGTGCTTTCTGACTCGCATTAGACCCATCAGATACTGGCTGAGGTTAATCAGTTACCATAGAAGGAGCGAAATTGTCATCTGTGAACTTAATTGGATTAAAAGGCTAAATTCCGAAGGCTTCAAATCCAGTGACAGCTTTCTGTAAACTCGCAGATCTGTTATATGCTGCAGAAAAAAATTCCCGAAAGTTCAAAAATGCTCTTATTCGTCTTCCTAGATTGCTTGTCATCCAGTTCCCAGACTCCAAAACGAAAGCACATTTTAGAACCTTGCAAAATGTGACATCAAGAGGCCAAAGCCGATGTGTGCAGTGGGGAGGAAATGTTACCGACGCAATCCCTATCTCGACCATATTAAGGGCTGGTGTCCCATAATTTCTTCTATCAGTTTTCTGAGTCTAGGACATCTCTCCCCTCAGACATCCCCCCCTAACATAACCCCTGTGGACTTTTCCACCCATAAAATAGGAGTTTTCCCCTAGTAATCCCCCCATTATCTTAAATCTTAATTCATTTAACATGACATTTTGCCAATAAATTATAAAACTTATATTAAGTTATGTTAAAAGAAAAAGGTTAATTGAAATAATTTTCAGTAGTAATTGTTAAACAAAATTAACATTTTCACATAATATTAAAAAATGTATTGCTTAAAAGTCAATGTTGTAAGCAATTGCTTTTAAGTATTCTATGATGTTACAATTGTCGAAGTCTATAGTTGCAATTCTCTAAGACCAGTCTTTGTACTTCTTTGGTTGTTGAGGCAAATGTCCACCGAAGATCTGATTTAGGTTGATGTTTTTTTTTTTTTAAGCTCTGTTCACAACTACAATTAATTGATCGATGACTAATCCTTCTGTTGTTTATCTTAAATATACAAAATATGCACAATAAATAAGGGTTAGACTCAAGCCTCTTTAACATACTTCAAAGAAACCTCCTGCTCTACGGTGTTATGTTCACAGTTCGAATGTGGTGTCAAGCTACCCTTAAGATCAATGTGTATGTGTGTGTGTGTATGTGTGTGTGTGAGGGAGAGAGATTTTACATTTAATAATGTATTTATTTCAGGTGACAGATGTCATACCTATGCATTAACAGTGATGCGGGATGCGAGTATACATCAAAGCTAAATGTTACTATATCTTAATAAAGTAGTATAAAGATAAAGGGGAGGGTGACTGGAGGGGGTGGTGAATCCTATTTGATGGGGGAGTCCAGGGGAAAATGTCCCGGGGGATATGTCAGAAGGTGGGAAGTCGAGGGGGAGGAGAAATGTCCAGTGGGAAGATGACCTGATACCCAGGTTTCCTTTTATAAGTCGTACCATATGCAAAAAAAGTATGGAATAATTTTAGGCATATGAACGATTAGTTGAAAAGTGTACAACTTTTTAACAGTTTTGTAAGGAGAGTTTTGTCCCTATCGTACAGCATTGACAATTTTACAATAGGCGGAATTAACAACTGCTGCAAATCATAAAATATTATACATGATGCATCTCTATACTCTGAAGTTTAAAAACACAAACGTACCGTTTTCTTACAGTTGTTTCAGGCGAAAATACTGCAAACAAATGGATTGAACATTTTTACAGGATGATGGCAAAAAAGTAATATTCTTCCATACAAACCATGCGTGCGGTTCCATCCAACAATGGCTACCATTCGCAAGGCCTGTGTAACGTAGGCAAGCTTGTTGCGCGGGTGGGGGTGCGTCAGGATGGCATGGGGGCATTTTACCTCCCTCCTATATATATATATATATATATATATATATATATATATATATATATATATATATATATATATATATATATATATATATATATATATATATCATACATTTTATACATAAAAATTGCATATTTTAAGCTTGTTATAAAATGGGTAAGCTTATTAGCACATTTGAAAGATATAGGCATCATTATTACTTGACAAAAGAAATGATTTTCATACAACTGGTGGAGTCGTATGCAGTCTGATATAGGAACATTACACGTACTAATGGAGTAAAGAGTTGTTGAGAAAACGAATCAAACTGTTCTGATACACATAATAAAATAATATAAAATATATAAAAACATTGACATCATATTTCAACAATCAATTTTTAGTAGTCCAAATTAAATTTAATTTACATAAGTGGGTTTTTTTTAGCTTTATGGTCAGGATTAAGTTAATTATCCAAATGGAATAAATAAAAATTGGATGCATATTCCTCTGTGACATCAACATAGGGATGGTGTACTGTTTTAAAAGTGACATGGATTATTCCCGTAAAAAGAGAACGTGTTCCTAAAGGTAATGGTGCATTAAATGAAATGGCTGGAAAGTGTCCACCATATAGTCTGAGAGATATTTTTTATCTCCATTGCCGTATTTCTAAAGATAAAGATACTCTCCCATCTCCGATGAGAATTTTCAATGAGAGAGAGAGAGAGAGAGAGAGAGAGAGAGAGAGAGAGAGAGAGAGAGAGAGAGAGAGAGAGAGAGAGAGAGAGAGAGAGAGAGAGAGAGAGAGAGAGATGTCTCGTACCAAGCAATGAGTGGCTGAGATAATGAAGGATAATTAAGAGTGTATCGCTTATCGAGAACCTTCACGACCTGTGCGACAAAAGAGTGTGAGTTTTTTGCTCTGAATGAAAAATCTATGATAAATCATGCTTGAAACTTCCAAAAAGTCATATAGCCACGGTGTAATCAAGCTGAGAGATATGAAGAAATAAATTTACATCATCAGTTATAATTCGATATAGGACAAGTAAAACGTTCTTGAATCTGAAATTGGTTTCCTGGAACGAGTTTCTGGTAGAAACTGTCGTTCGAATACATGAAACAAAAAGCCGATAATACGAATTGAGGTATAAATCACCTGGCACGTGCAAGTGACTATCAAGTCTGATATGAAGTACAGCTTGATGAAAATATCTGCTACTACAAACAGCAAACAAAGCTGTCAGTTCTATCGGCTCGCGGCTTTCCATGTTACTTGCTAGAAATTGTTAGTTCCTGCAGAGCCAGCGAGAGAGGCGCAGCACAGTGCGGGATAGGTCGGGATAAGCACATTGAGAAATTGCAGACGATAAGTATCGTAATGGCAGAAAACAGTGAATGCGACTCCAGAATCGTAGTGGTATGTGTGGATAGTAGTCCCCAAGCTGAATGGGCCTTTGACTGTAAGTACGGACAATTTTGAAATTAATTCAGCATGTGTCAGTAATATTTCTTTTGCAGCAACGTCGTCGATACTGTTTTCAGTGCATAAATAGAGCTTCATATGTAAATATTACAAGTCTTCGCTACCATTTATTAACGTAGGCGTAGCGTCAATGAGAGTTTAAACAAGTCATATTAATGCTGTCGGAACAAGGCAATGAAAGGTAATGTGCAATGTTTCTCGTCATTGTAATTAATAAATGTTGATTGGGATGAGTATACGCTGAGTAAGATAGTGCACAATTGCATGCCTGCCGAAAGGCATGTTCAATTCGTATATTGTCTTGCATGGTCTTATTCTTATCATTCACATCAGGGAATATAAAACTGTTGACAGTTTGTATTTGGAATTAGGGGGAATATCAACTTGTATATATGTTTAGATCTCACCCGTGTAATATGTATTTTCTTTTCGATCAAAGTAAGTTGTACAAAGGCGTGGATCACCCTCTTTAAAACCTACCTTGAATTTTGTTACGGTCATTCTTCGTTTTGTGCAAGAACCAATATTTCTTACAGTTGCAAAACACTGGGGCAAAATAGTAAGAGTGAAGCTGAAAGACATGCATGTTTAGATGAAGTGTCATTGTCCCTTAAGCTCATTGTTTTCCAAAGAGTTACCCAGGATAGAGACGGCATGTTGGGCTTGAATTGTAAGTTAGGGTTTGTGCTCCGCTCTATCTCTATCTCTGCAGAAAGACAAACTGGTTATATTTTTAAGGAAATGCAATAGAAAGATATGACCTCAGACAGAACTACGTGCATTGAAACACAACTCTACTGATATGACACGGGGTCAGTTAAGGTATTATTCAGTAACACAAACAAGGGTTTCATAATCTGACTGATCGATAATGATCAGCAATCTGACGTGTACACAAGAGAATTTCCCAGTTTTAGATACCCATTCTTGCTTCATATAAACGACATTACGTTATTTATCTGTTTCTGAGAACACGGAAAAATGATAGCGTCGGTCAGTAATAATTTTGGCAAGAGGGGTGGGTGGACTTAGTGCAGTAGAGTTGACATATCTGTTCTGCAATTTTTTTTAAAATCTTACATGCATCATTAGATTTGTGGGTTGTTTTTAATTTAACATGGAATAACTGCTGCCAACATTTCCAGACTTTGAATGATTCATGAATAAACACGTACTATGAATAAAGAGTCAATGAAAACCTTTGTAAAAGTAGTTACGTTTGCTCCTTTGTTATTTTTAATTCTGTTCAAAGTCTCCAAACTTCGATACCAGAAAATAATGGATCCAATATGTAAATTTCAGTTGCTTTATGTGAAAATTTGGTAACTTTTTCATGCGTATACCCGTGTACTTAGAAAGATATGGAAGCGAAATTATCTTGGATTCTGCT